CCCGGCGCGCCAGCCCCAGCGTCTACCCAGAGCGCTGTCGGTCCCCGGCTGGACGCAGAGGGGAGCGCTGCAGATTTGGGGACCCCGAATCCAGGGTCAAAGGGCAGTTTGGCGCCCCTTCTCCAGCGCAGTGGAAGAGTGGCAGAATTCCATCTAAACCTGGTTTTACAAGCACTCCTGGCCAGGGCCTGTTCAGCCTGGACCCTGGGGTCCAAAATTCTCTTCTCAGCCCCCCTGGGAGTGAGTAGGTGGGTGACCGAAGTCAGGAATACAAACGACACTTTTTTTTTTTAAACAAAACTTTATTGGTAATAGTTTTCAAATATGTTTACAACAGCACACTGTTCAAGAGGAAGTCGCGTCCTTCGCAGCACACAGGTTGAATCGCCCCCGCGCCCACCCGGGGCCCCACTCCAGGCCTGAGAGCTCCTCCTGCGTTGGGGAGAAGTTATGAGAGGGATAAATATGGGGTGGCTCCCCAGCAGCTCCCCACAGAGCTACTTTTTCACTGAGAAAGAAAGCACAAATCAGACACAGGAGGGAGAGGAGGAGTGATGGACAGCTGACAGCTAAACTAGAGGAAGGACGTAGGCCACAGGGTGAATAAAACAGGCAGCTTCTCCCAGGCAAGCCTAGCCTTGAACCCTGGGCCAGTGTGTGTGTATGTGTGGGGGGCGGGCTTTGCCGCTTCCTTGTCTTTTTGCAGGGTTTGCCTTCTCAACTGAGCTGAGAGGAAGCAGGGCATTAAAAATCTAGCCGAGAATAAAATTAAGGAGTCTGCAGGGTGTTGCTGGGATGAAGACCCTGGGCCGGGGCTCACCCTCTAGCTTTGGCAGGGTAAGAGCCAGCTGCTTTGTCTGGCTCCCGAAGCCCAAGGGTGAAGAAAGGTCTGCTGGACACCAAGAGGGTATGGGCTTCCTGAAGGGGCTGAGACCCCTCCAGGCTTGGCAGGGAACCCTGAGGAGGGGGCAGGGGCGATTAGCAGCTCCAGGGCAGAGGTTCTAACCTCAGCTCCTTCCTTTACAAAATTTGCTTGCTTCCCAGCCTTGTTAAAATAAATCGGAGAATAGGGGGACATGGAAAGGAGAATGGCAGAAGAGGAAGGAGGGAGGCACTGGTGGAACTTAAATACTATTTTAAATGGTTTTCCTAAAAATCCCAACAAGCAGCCCACTGTACATGTCACTAAAATCTCTCTCTGGGAGGATCACTCTGGAGATTGGCTTTTCTGTTCATTCGTCCTTAGTTATGGGTCCCTGCAGTTTTTTTTGGGGGGGGGGCTAGAATTAAGCTTGAGCTCCTCTTTCTACACCCTGTCTCTGGATACACCAGCAAGATCTGGTCTGACTAGGGCTGAGAGACTCATTTAAAACAGGCAGAAGTGGGCTGGGGTTGGGAGACCGTGGAGGAGGAGGGAGGCAGGGAGAAGCGGTGGAGTGATCTGGCAGGAGGGCAGGGGGGTAGGGGGGAGCAGCTGGTGTTTCCATCCTTCCCCAAATCTGGGCTTCCTGCTCCTCCTACCCTTGAGGGTGGGGTGGGGGTAAAATTAGATGCAATGAACTCTGGGGCCCTCTGGCTGTTCAATTCAACCCTCCCACCCCACCCCCAAAAAAAAAAAAAAAAAAAAGAAAACCCACGGGGCACAGGCACACCCCTAAAACTCAGAAAACTCCTTGCCACACTTCTCATTGATGGAGACCCGGATCTCTTCCTCCTCGTAGTCGTCAAAGTTACTCGTGTCTCCCGGGCCTTTAAACTTTGGTATGAAAGGAGCTTCCACCTGGAAAGGCATCAAGAACCACCCAGACTTCATTAGTCAACATAATCATAATTACAACAATAAATGCAAGCGGCCTAATTTCATAAGATACTTACTCTGACCCAAGCTTGTGCTTAGTATTAGGGTGTGGACCCTTCTAAACAGGCCAACTCACCAATGGGGAAATACTGCCTAGACATGGGAGTTTCTGCCCAAGGTCCCAGAGTGACCAAGTGAACCCAGAATCCCAATTCTAGACAGTTCCACTGGCACCGCACTGCCTCCTCTAGGCTAACTGTCAGCCAGCCGGAAGCCTATCTTCAATTCCTTTTCCCTCTGTCAGGTGACCTCCCTTGACAACCTTGGCCTTCTGCCAACACCCTCAGACCACCCGTGGGGTAGGGGCTGGGCCCACCTTCCTCTGGTAGATGGCAATCCAGTCAGTTGTGGCAAACCACTTGTGGTTCTTGATGTCATTGACCCCATTCTTGAGGTTCCCGAAGCGCTTGGTGAGGTCCACCTGCAGGAGGTTCCGCAGTAGGTCCTTCAGGTCGGAGCTGAAGTGCGAGGGGAACCGGACCTGGGAGACGCAGGGGCAGAGATCGGTTGGTCGGGGGGTTCTTTTCTGTTTCGAGGGAAGCTGATCTGGAGCTTCAGGAAGCCCAGGACACTGCCTTCTCCAAACATCAGTCTTATCTGGTATAAGCCCTCTGCAGAATCCCATTAAAACAAAGTCTGCTGGGCCCACCCTGGAGGGCCGCATTCAGCAGGGCTGGCTGGGGCCTGAAAATCCGCATTTCTAACAAGTTCCCTGTTGATGCTGATCCTGCTGGAGAGGGAACCCCTTTAAGAACCACTGCTCTCAGGCCTGTGCTACAATGGCTCCCGTCTTATGTGAGGAAACAGTCAGCCAGGCTAAACAGCTTGCCCAAAGTCACACACAGGAGTGGGAGAGGGGACTCCATTACAAGTGTGTTGGACTCTGGAACTTGAATTCCTGACTGCTGCTTCCTATGTGGCCTTGCTGGGGTCTGGGGGCTTCTGAAATAGAAACACTTAAGAGAGAAATGGAGCTTTCTCTCTCTGCATAACTAAGCATCTTCCATGCCTTGGGGCCCTGACCGACTCTCTTCCAGAAATCTTCTACCATAGCTTTGCATCTAAGAAGAGAGGTCACTGGCTTTATAGCCACAAGAACTGACTTCAAGTCCGTGCCCTGCCACTTATATGCTCTGTGACTTTGAACATAGTCCTTAACCTCTTTGGGCCTCTGTCACCTCTCTGACATGGGCCAGATATCCCAGGGTTGCTGGGAGGCATGGGAAAGAGACAATACAGCTGATTGGTTGTAAGACTATAAAATGCTGCACAGAAAGGACTCATGATGGCCATCTCTTCTGCCATGGAACCTTCTATGACACTCCACGCAGTGACTGCTATTCTGCCTTGTGGCAGACACCTCATGTTCTCTTTCTACTGATGTCCACTATGTGTCCAGCACAGGTGACCGCACTCAGCAGTTGGTAACTTCTCCCAACTACCCTGAGAGGCAGGTGTCTGACTGGCCTTTTCTCAGATGGGGAAGAAAAGGTTCAGAGGGCGCTGAACCATTTGCCCAAGGTTTCACAGCCAACAAGTGGCAGGGCTGGGACTCAAAGCCAGGCCTGCTCTCCCAGATGGAGCTCGGAGCTTCTCTCCCCATTCCCAGGTGACTCTGGGCCAACCAGCACCTCCTGTGCTGTGCCAGGTAGGAGGGGAGCCCAGGGCAGAGGTGGGGCCTCCAGCCTCCCTTGGGCCCTTGGTACCTAGGCCAGTGTCTCCACTTACTTGCCATGGTGTGGTCGTGGGCAAGACACGCTCCCTCAGCAAGCCTCAACTTCCTCCCCTCTCACATGGGGGTACTACTCCCACAAAGCAAGGGACTGAAGACTGAAGGGGTTCACCTGGTGCCACTTAAGGCATTTCCCAGATGCAATGCAAGCCCTTACAGTTCTGCCGGCCCTCACCCAAAACCTCTGGATCAGGCAGTCTGCCTTTAGGAAAGGAAACGGGAACCGTATACCACAGCTGAGGGGGGCTGGGGCGTCACCTGGGAACCAGCCGGGAAATTGAGGAAAACGCACACCAAGGTGGGCGACTATGAACAACGAGAACACGGGGGGGGGGGGCAGGTGAGGTGGGGCAGGCGAGGCGGGGTTCTGTGCCAAAGAGCTCGATGAGACTCGCGCTTTGGAAGTTCTTAGGATGCTGGCCCCATGGGATGGGGGCCAGACAGGGAGGCTGCACTAGGTGTCAGCTCAGCATGGCCCTGGCCCAACTGAAAGACCATCTAGACCGTTCTAATAATGATTAGGGGATCTGTGGAGAGGAGTGTAGGCTGAGTGGAAAGAGGGCTGCCATTGGGGGTGGGGGCCAAATGCCCACATCCGGCCTCACCTTCCCAGAGACAATTTTTTCGTAGATCTGGATGGGCTGGTCTGCGAAGAAGGGCGGGTAGCCAGCTGCCATCTCATAGATGAGGACCCCCAGGGCCCACCAGTCCACAGCCTTATTGTAGCCCTGAGGCAAGAGTTGACAGAGGGTAAGGGGAGGAAGCCAGAAAGCATATGGGCAGAGAGGAGGCGAGGGTGGGGTGCTGGGGAAGCACCTACTTTGCTTAGGATAATCTCAGGGGCCAGGTACTCAGGGGTCCCACACAAAGTCCAGGTGCGACCTTTGACACGCTTGGCAAAACCGAAGTCTGTCACCTGCAGGCACAAGAACGGGCAGTTAGTGGGGAGGGAGGGTGTAGGCCATGGTTGCCTGGGGCTGTCCTCACCCAACCCAGTGGGCACCTGAATGTAGCCCTGTTGGTCGATGAGGAGGTTCTCTGGCTTCAGGTCCCGGTAGATGAGATCGAGTGAGTGCAGGTACTCAAAGGTCAGGACAATCTGGGCTGCGTAGAAGCGGGCGTGGGGCTCACTGGCGGGACAAGCAGGAGGGGGTGGTGAGTGCAGTGCCACAGCTAGCAGCACCCACCCACCCACAGCCGTCCAGCAGGGGGGCTGGCACAGCCACCTGACACTCCCAGTCCAGAGATGGAGTGCGCTCAGTCTACTACCTCAAGTTGTGATGTCTATGTCACTCTTGTTTTGTGGCAGCTGAAATATGCCAGATGCCTCGTCACAGTGGAAATAAAAACCCATCAGGACCTGGAGAGGCCACTGCCACATACGAGCCGGCTGGCTGGCCGTGTGCCCCCAGTGGTTTGGTCATGTGACCGTGTGGCCTATGTCAGGCTGGGGTGGCAGGGGCCTGGAGGGGCTGGGGTGGCCGCTCACCTGAATCTTCCGATCCTCCGTAGGTGTGAGAACATCTCCCCACCAGGCACGTACTCCATGACCATATATAAGTTGGAGTTGTCCTGCGGGAAGCAGCGTCTGATGAGAGCCCCGCGGGTTCTCAGAAATAAAATAAGGATACTTTATTTCTGGCTTCTGCGTATGAAGCACACACCAAGTGCCCAGCGCTGGGCACACTGGGTGACACAGCTCATTTCATCTGCCTGTGAGAACAGGGGGCAGCTGCGACCCTGCTGGTACCAGGGCAAAGTGTGAGGGTCACCTAGAGGTGGGCAGGAGACGTGGCTGAGTGCCCTGGCTGGAGAGAGGACTCGTGTCTGGGACTGTTTTGCTCTCATGGCCAATTGTGCCATCTATGAAAACAGGACCAGGAGCTGCAGAGCCCAGAATCAAAATGCAGGGCCCCTTGTTAAACAGTTATTAGGACTTCTGAGATGGCGGCAGCAGTGCATCACAGCGAGTGTGGGCAGGGCCTTGTGGGCACAGGGGCCTCCTGACCACACAGCTGCACAGCATCTGTGATCTGGCCCCAAGTGGCCTTTCCCAGCTCGCACAGCATCCAAAATAGCTCATGCAGGGTGCTCACAACAGCCCCACCAGGAGGGGACTGACATGATGCCCATTTTACAGATGAGGAAACCAAGGTTCAAGGCAACGACGTCCCCTGACCGGGGCCAAACGGCCAGGAAGCATGGTGCTGGGATTTGAACCCTGGCCATCTGGCTGCAGAGTCCAGGCTCCTTGCCTGTGTCAGGTTCTCATTGTAAATGGAGTGCTGATTCTCAGGGATGCTACCAAGTTCAGTGACTTGTCCAGGATTACTAAACTAGAGCATGGCAGGCCCAGGAATTGAACTTGGGTCTAGCCCAGCACCAGCCCAACTCCTGATCCCCAGCACCCCTCCTTCAGGGGTCTCAATCTTCTTCTTCTCATCTTCCTGGACAATCCTCAGTTGTCCTCGGCCTCAGCCCCACCCCAGGAACTGAGAGGCTGCAACCAGCCATGCCAAGCATTCCCCAGAGTGGTTTCCTCTCCCTTCTCCCCCACCCCTGAACCTGCTGCTGTGGAGCCACACCTTGAAGGAGAACTCGAGTCTGACGAGGAACGGAAAGCTGACCGCTTGCAGAATGCGCTTTTCGTTCAGGGTATGCTCGATCTGTTTCAGCTTCACCACCTGTGGGGCAGGAAAGGAGGACGGAGAGGTGGGAGCATGAAAGGCGGTGTCTGAGGCATGCCAGTGCCTTCAGCCAGAATTGTCTGTGGGCCTTGACCCACTGGGCACTGGGCTTGACGCTGAAGACACAGAAGAAGGCCAGGGTTCCCTGTCCTCCAATGGGGCACAGAGTCCAGGGAAGGATACATGAGTCACACAGCCTCAGCCCAGAGGGGCCTGTGGAAGCCCAGATAAGGGGCCTGGCCCAGTTAGGGGTAGGAGTGGTGGTCAGAGAAGGCTTCCTGGAGGAAGGGGCACAGGAGTAGCTCCAAGGGGTGGGGTGTTTACAAACAGCTTCCATTGGGTCTAGAGCACCCCATGCACCCACTGGGACCTTGGGCTAATTCCTTCTCAGCCTTCAGCTGGCCCCTAATGGCACAGAGCACGAGCCAGGCACCTGACACGTACTTACTCATAGGATGTCGTGGGAGTCCTGTGAGAGTGCACTATGAGCATGCTAGGGTGGAAGCCCACACCCAGACGGGTGAGGTGACTTGCACGAGGTCACAATGCCCATCAATGGCTGGCTGGCACTGCACGCAGGCAGCCTGACCCTTTGCGCTCTGAACCACTGCTGCAGGTTTCTTCTTTGCTCACAGCTGCGCCCTCAGTGTCTACACCAGCACTGCCTAATTGTCACCACGAGCCACGTGGGGCTGCCGAGCACGCGAAACATGGCTGGCTTGAGTGAGGCAGTGAATTTACTGTTTTAAATAGCTAAACTTCAAATTTAAAAACAGACACTTGATTTGTTGTCGTTGTTATGTGCTGTCGAGTCAGACCTGACTCACAGCGACCCTTCCTTGGGTTTCCGAGGCAGTATCACTACAGAAGTACATTGCCCAACCTTCCTTCCGAGGAGTGGCTGGTGGGTTTGAACTGCCCGCCTTCTGGTTAGCAGTCAAGTGCCTTAGACACTATGCTACCAGAGCTTCTGACGCTAGATTTAGTGATTGGAAAACTTTCACACATGTCGGGGACAGCCTGGGCTGTGAATCTACTTGATCATGTCTTTCTGATGAACATTTACCATCTGAGTGGAGACGTGTTGTAAGTGTCAAATACTTGCTGGATTTTGAAGACGAAGTATGGAAAGAAGAATGTAATATATCTCAGTAGAAATGTTTTTACACAGATCACACGTTGAAATGATAATACTTTAGATGTATTGGCTTAAGTGAAACATATTGCTAAAATCAATTTCACCACTTCCTTTTCCTTTTCCTTTTTTTCAATGGAACTAAAATGTTTCTGTTTCCTAAATTTGACATCACACACATGGCTTGTGTTGCACTTCTCCAGGACTACACTGGTCTAGAGATTCCCTAGCACAGGCCAGGGTCTCAAAAACATGTGCAGAAGGAACAAATGTCCCTGTCAATACCCCTGTCCCCATGAAGACTCCTCAAACTGGCTCAGAGCCTGGTGTCCTGCCTCTGGGCCCTCCCTGGGCACTTTCTGACCCTGTTGTCACCAGACCTGGTTTCACATGGGCCGTTAGCCTAGACAGGAAGCTGTGTGAGGGCAGGACTGCCCCTTCTGGTCTGGCGCTTTATAAGAGCTCAGGAAAGTGTGGGTGAGTGACAGGGCAGAAAGAGCCCTCTGGGTGGTGGCGAGAACAGCCTGGGCACAGGCCTGGCAGCCGGCTCACCTTCTGTTTGTCGAGGATTTTCATGGCATAGTGGTTCCCGAGGTCCTTGTGCCTCACCAGCATCACTCGCCCGAAGGAGCCCGTGCCGAGGGTCTTGATTCGTTCAAACTGATCCAATTGGGCTGTATTCTGTGGGAGGAGGGGTTGGGAAGATCAGGGACCCCCTGTCCTGAAGCCTACTGGGCCCAAGCCTGGGTATCCCCTTTGCTACCGGCAGAGGGGGCCCTGGGGAGGGGGTGGCCTGAGTGGGGTGAGGACGGGGACAGAAAAAGATGGCGGAGGACACATTCCTCAAGGCGGATGGCAGGGGCCAGATCCGGCCCTGGCTGGGGGCCCAGGAGCTGCTGGCAGCTGTGTGGGGGGGCAGGGGCTGCCAGTCGGGAGGGGGCAACAGGGTAGGGGAGCCTGGCCATGGGCAATCGAGTGCCTCTGCCTGGGAGCCTTCATGGGGGTGTAAGGAGCCTTCCCTGGGGACCTTGAAGCTCTAGCCTTGTCACAGGGATGCAGTCAGGGGGTTGGCCCATGAGCTCACCCCTCCCACGGTTCCCTACTGGGGCTTACCTGGGCGGGATTTTCCCATTTTTTCAGAAAATCTTCTTTGGCTTTGGCTAAGAATTCTTTCACTGAAAGAAAGAAAGAAAGGGGAGCTTAGATGGAGCCCCCACCTCGTCAGGGCAGGCCCAGGCTACTTCTGGGGAGATGCCCATGTGTGGAAAGTGGGGTAGCTGCCTTGCCCAGAGCCTGACTTTTCCTCATTGCCTTTGGGGTGACCTGGCTGAGCCTATGGGCAGCTTGGGGAGGCTTTGATCTGGGCTGGGGTCCAGGCCTCCGTACTACAGGGAAGTAGAAGCTGGCCTCAATTCCATCCAAGAAAGGGGTACAGGGTGACTTGGGGGTCACTCTAGGGGGACAGAGAGCAGCAGCCAGGCCAGCCCACCCCCACTTGCCCCAGTTCTGACCAACATTCCACTGCCGGAGAAGACGCCAGCCGAGGTATTTATAGCCTAGGGATTTGGCTGCTCCTCCAACCTCTTCTCTGGGGAGGCTGGGGCTGGGGGAGAGGCCTCTGGGGCTTGGGTAGCAGGCGTCCTTGGGGGGCTCAGCTAGCAGGCACCCTTGGGAGGACTCAGCTGTCATCCTGGCCCCCAGCTGGCCTTTGCCAATGTCAGGGTCCTTGATTCAGAGCTGGTTCAAGGGAAGTCACCTCCACAAAGCCTTGCCTGATACCTGCCCCCAGGGGCCCCACAGCATCCCAAGGCGACCAGTACCCGCCCATTAACCTCAAAGACTGTCCCCGCAGGCCTTGGCTGGCTGCTTCACCTACACTATCTCGTTTGATTTGCCTGCCAACCTTTTAACCATTCTCCCCACTAAACAGTCTGGGAAGTTGAGGCTTAAAAGCAGCCACTCTCGCCAATGTTGAGAGGCAGCCCAGTAAAGTGGGCGAGGCCAGGTTTGTGGGACAAGATCGTGTTCAAATCTCGGTCTGGTCTCTGATGAGCTGTTAGATTTTAGGCAACTGACCTCATCTCTCTGGTCCTCAGTTTTCCTCATCTGTAAAATGGGGACAATAGTAGGAATGACTTTGAAGAGTGGTTGTAAGAATTAAATGAGTTTATCTTTGTAGAGGGGATTGAACAGTGGCTGGCACAGGTTAAAATCACACCAAACCAAACCCACTGCCAGCAAGTCGATTCTGATTCATAGCAACCCCATAGAACAGAGTAGAACTGCCCCATAAGGTTCCCAAGGCTGTAAATTGGAAGCAGACTGCCTCATCTTTCTCCCATGGAGTGGCTGGTGGGTCTGAAGCATCGACCTTTTGGTTAACAGCTGAAAGCTTTAACCACTGCACCCCAGGGTGCTATATAAATGTTTGCCACTAATTTTACTTTTAAAATTGGGAGGGGAGGAGAGGGAAGATTGCTAGACATGTAAGAGACAAGTATTGGTTTGGGTGAAGGGAAAGGCAATATACCAAAAGCAAGTGACTGACACAATAACACTAAGGAAAAAGAAGACAGAGAGAGGTGCACAATAGGGACAGACAACAAAGGTAAACACTTTCACATACACAATCCTGCATTGTCAGCAATAAACATCAACCTACAGGTGGATACATAGGCAGACAGGCTAAATGATCAGGTATGTCTAGGCAAAAGGAATATACCCATGACCGTATATAAGTTTGGCAGATGATGTTTCTACATATGTATTTGCATGTGCTAAAATAAATAAATGAAATAACTGGAGTATAAAATATATACATGGAAGCGGGCTAAGTACACAAATCTCAACTACTCAGTCTGCTGGGGTCTAATGTTACAGACATGGTTGTGTAACTATCACCAATTCCCAGGTCCTGCCCCTAGAGCTTTCTATGTGAATTCTGACCCTGCTGGGCAGAAGCTGCTATTATTCCCATTGTACAGACGAGAAGACTGAGACCCTAAGGAGAGCCAGATGCTGAAGGTCACTGACTCTGTTGCTCATGAGATTAACTGAGTCACTACCAACTCAGTTGGTAGTTTCAGCCCTGGACACAGTGCATCAGGGAGGCTGTGGGCAGAGCTGCCCTCAACCCTTGATGTTCTGGGGACTGTTTCCATGCCAGTCCTAAACGTTGGCTCTGTCAGTCATCTGTCTGTCCCCAGCTGCGTGCGGTACCAGGAACCCCTCGTGGCCTCATGGACAGTCAATGCTCCCCTCATTGTCCCCAAAGCTCTCCATCACTGTTCCCTAGTCCCCTCCATGGGGCTAGGAGAATGGCAAATGGAGGAGACACTAGTGGCCAGGAGAACCTGCAGAGTGACCCGGCTTCAGAAGAGGCAGGCAATGAGTAGCCAGGAACCCTAGGCTGGCACCTGGCAAGGCCACCAAAGGCCAAGAGATCTCTCTGCGTTTGGGGATTAAACCACTTCCAACACTTTCACTATCAAAGCCTTTTTAGCACACACCACCTTCCTCAGAAACCCCCAAATGGACCCATGCCAAATTCTGGATGAAAGTGGGGTAGAAGGTACCCTCTTGGGGCTCTACTTTCATCCAAACAAGAAATAAATGAAGAGGGCTTGGGAGGAAACTAGAGCATGCTCAGTCCTGCTTCCTCCCCAAACGGCCCTGGCTTAGTGGGTGGGAGCCCTGGCTATCTGTTGTACCCCACTGAGGGGCTGGGAAGGGCCTTTGCCCATCAAAACCAAACCAAACTCACTGCCATCGATCGATTCCAACTCAGAGCAAGCCCCTTTGGGTTTCCGAGGCGGTAAATCCTTACGGAAGTAGATCGCCCAGTCTTCCTTCCATGGAGTGGCTGGTGGGTTTGAACCTCCAACCTTCTGGTTAGCAGTCAAATGCCTTAGGCACACACCATCAGAGCTCCTTCCTTTGCCCCTAGCAAAGCTTTTCTCTGGCCTCTCAAAGCGCTGAAGGGCCCAGGCTGTGTTCTCTCTGATCAGTGCTGTCAACTTGCCAGATTTGAGGGAGGGGTGGGGGAGGGAAAGATAGTGCCAGGAAGAGCAAGCAAATAGATAATGGCAGGGGGAAGGGCACCAGGAGCCCCTACACTCACCTCTGCTTCCTGCCTCTTCCAGCAGAGGGTGGGGATGGGGGTGGGATGGGGTGATCTGAGGCCCATCTGCTCCTGGCCAGGGAGGATCAGGGTGCTGGCTGCGGGTTGGGCCTCCAAAGGGCTTGGCGCAGGTAGTCCAGGAAACGGACTGTCAGGTGGGCCCAGAGAAAGAGCTGCAGCCACAGCTGGAAGGTGGTCTCTGAGTCCTCACCCCAGCCACTGCCTGATCCCAGATCCATCCAACCACCCTGGACTCTCCCTGGAATCTTTCCTTTGCAGGGAAAACCAGACCTTTGGAGCCTGTTCCTCGGAGGGCCTTGGGGACGGGCAGCAGAGGAGGAGCTGGTTGCCACGGAAGCACTTAAAGGTACCTGCCCCCAGCTGGCCAAGGTCTACAAGTCCCTCCTTGGCAGGAGGTGGTGGGAAGATTCTTCTGGGAATGTTTCTCCTGGCTGCACTGCCTGCCCCAGGGCAGGAAGCTAAAGCTAATTTCCCATTCCAGGGACTTCATTGCTCCTACCAAGTCAGGCCCTGCCTTCTTCACTGTGTGTTGGACTGGCCAGGGGATGGCACCTGACTTGCCCAGGGCAGTGGCCTCTGGGCAGAGAAGGAATTAAGGCTCAGGCAGCAGCCAAAGACACCTGGAGGCTAAAGAGCTCCCCCCCCCCAACTTTGTTAATTAGCTGAAGGAACAGCTGAAGAGACAGGGAGGGGGCGCAAAAGCCACCTCCATTCATCTCCTGAGACCCCTTTGAACCCAGAGCCCCCAAATCATCCTACTCAGAGAGAGAAAGGGGTACATGTGGCTCTTTGTCTTGATCCTCTGTGGGAACGGAGAGAGGAAAGGCATTCTGGGATGTCCTTGGCCTCTGTCAAACCTTGCCCTGCGCTTGGCTCCCTCTCAGTCATGAAAGTCCAAACCGGAAACGGAAACGAAAGGCTAAACCCAGAGATGGGGGAGGGGGAGGCAGCCTTGACCATCTTCCTCCTTCCTTCCAGATCCCAAAAGAAGGTGAGAGTAGGTGGCAATCTCTCCAGGAGTGCCTGGCACCCATGGTCCCTGCTGGCAACAGGAAGTGGCAGAGAAGGGGAACCCAGCCAGCTGTGGGTCTGTAGAGCCTGCCACCCCCCCCCACCTCCACCCTGGTCCTGATTCCATTTGGGGACACAGAAAACAACCCAAACACCCCTAAAAAAGCCAGGGTCACAGCACGAGGCAGAAATCTAGAAATTCCCCTGGGAATGGGGAACTGCAGCAGCACACTGTCACACTGGACAAAAAAACATGTCCAACTTCATGTCCTCCAGACAATAATCTCAGGATCCTCTACTCTCTCAAATCTGGCTGTCCTGGGAATTCTGGGGTAGGGATGCCCAGTCCGGGAGCCTCAGAATTCAGGCTGGCTGATTCCAGTCTAATCTTTGCACTGGACTCCTTAAATTTAAGTTGGATCCCACCGCTGGAAAGGACTCCAGTTTGAGCTAAACTTCAGCACTAAACTAGACCAACCGCTATTCTAAACTGAGCTCCAACACTAACGTGGACCAATCCCTATTCTGAAATGGACCCAACAATGACTGGACTACCCCTCCCCCAGTCTTAATAAACCCTAATTCTGTACAGGTACCAACTTCCATTCTGAGATGGACCTCAACAATGGCTGAACTACCCCCTCAGTCTGAGCTGAACTCTAACACTGGGCTAGACCACCCTCCAGACTGAACTGGATGCCCACTGGGAGTGGGCCACAGTTCCCTGGTCTGAACTGGACCTTTCATAGTACCCCACCCCCTCCCGCTCTTCCCAGGCCCCACAACCCGGTCGTTAGATTGAGAGGAATTTCCAGGGTGAGCTGGGAGTTCACTGACTACTTTTCTCTGCCCGCTCCCCAAGTCCAGTCCCATTGCTGCCCTTCCCCATCTTGGGGCGCAGGGGGGTGACTGGGAAGTTACTATAGCAACAGAGCTCAGCCTCACCATCCGTGGGGTTGGAAGCCATCATTCAGTCTTTCTCTTGGGGCACCCGGTGTACGGTGGCTGGGAAGGCTCATGAGACCTGTCACATCAGTTCGTGCACCCACCCTCCAGAGCCCCACCTATAGAGGGAGCCAAGGAGTTGAGTGGTGGGGATAGGAAGGAAAACCCAACCTGGTGGCCAGTGGAGGGGCAAATAGGTCCTTCAGGGCTACCGTAGCCCGGATTGGGCTACAGGAAAAGTTGCTTTGGCAAGACCCTCTTGGGCTCCCATACAACTTCCACTGCAGATGTTTGGCCCTTTTGGGCTTCTGTAGGCTGTTAGAGGCCTACGGTTCCTCCCACCTAAAGACTTCTTGGGGGCCTTTTTACTCTCAGTGCCTGCACTGGCTTCTCTCTCGGGCTTGAGGAGTATCTGGGGGGCTTCCTCTCGCTACCTGTGCTCCGTCCCCTGTGCCAGCTTTTAGGGGTGTTCTCGGCCCCATTTGGCTGCCTGTCCAGGGACCTCTTAGGCTACAGCCGTATCTCAATTCTTCCAGCCTGGCCCGTCATTCTTTTTTCTCTGCCCTCCCAGCCCTTGTCAGTGGTTTGGCATCTCTGGACACAGATTCCCCACGCCCACCCCAAGGTTCTTTCTAGATCCCTGCCCTCATGAAACGTGGCAGACCCTGTCCTGGCCTGGAGATGGGGTTGTAGGGGTTGCGGGATGGTTAATTGATACGTAGCAAGGCTCGGGCATTTTTCTTACCCTAGTAGGGCTGGTGTGTGGCAGATGAAATTCAGGTGCCCCCTGCAGGCTGGCCTGGCTACTGCCCCTGCCCCGCCCTGGTCAGAAGAGGGCAAATTTAGTCTAATTCCATCCTGTTTTAGAGCTTCCAAGCAAAGAAGGGCCTCCTTCCTCATCCTATTTTCCTCTCTGGGAGCTCCTGCCAAAGCTTGGGGTGAAAGTACAGCTTAGGGCATTTCCCAAAGTGTGACACTGGTCCCACTGGTTGCACGTGAAATGATTTTAGGGAGTACACAATGTTTTATTTTTCTAGTTACATAACGCACTGCTATGGAGTCATACCCAACCTATAGCAAACCCTCCTTGGAATTCCGAGGGGCTATCACTACGGAAGTAAACTGCCCAACCTTCTTTCCAAGGAGTGGCTGGTGGGTTTGAACCACCAGCCTTCTGGGTAGCAGTCAAATGCCTTAAGCACTATGCTACTAGAGCTCCTTTCTAGTTACATATGTATTTTAATTTGTATCAGAGAAAATAGAGCTGGCTGAGCAATGTCACAACTTCATTTGTATTATTACTCAGGACCGGGGGTCAAGGTTTACATCAAAGAAAAGTGAGTCCAATTTTTATTATTTTAAATTAAGAATGTATGAATGACTAGAGCAAAAGTTGGGGAGATGGCTTGAGAATCTGAGTTGGGCAGTCATGGGATCCTCATAGATTTAGATGTGAATCTTGCTCCTGTGACGTCATCTATGTCAAACTCAGAAAGCCTGTTTAGAAAATTTGGATATACAAGTAGATCTATGGAGACTGTTTAGGCTGGCACATACTAGATGTCCAATACATAGTGGCTCTATTTCACCATGACAGTCTATTCCTGGGTGTCTTTTGGCCTGGGCTCTGAGAGAATAAGCAGTTCTTTCCAGTGCCTTTTGGGGATCCTTTTCCCTGTGTGGCTTTTCACCCCTACTGCGTGTGCTTGGTACGCCTTGAAGGTTTCCAGGACTATGTCATTTCCCCAACTTTCAACTGAGCCACTGCAATATATAGTTGCCTGCCTCCACCTGCCACCTCCTAGTGGCCTCACCTGCTGGAGGCTGGCCCCTCCCTCTCTCCCCAGTCCCCTCCAAGCTCATGCCCAGACCTTTTTTGGACACTACCCACCTGCTCCTCTGTCATCAAGTGCTCAACTACAGGCACTTGCCTTCCCGTCCCCTGCTTACTGGTGACATGTCAGGCCTCCCTGTGGCTGCCTGGTTCCTCTAAATTCTGCTATTTGAACCCATATGGGAATAAAGTTCCCTACCTTGCAGGCCCACCTCTTTCTGGGAAGGGGCATTCAGGGGGCTGAGACACTGGTGTTTGAGACCAGGAACGAAGGAAAGGGTGGCTTTATTTCTGGGTAACTGGACGGGACTCTCTGGTGGGGCCTACCTTTAGGCCTAGAGTAACAACTGAGGAGCTGGAGGACCTGGGGAAGGGGCTTGAGGCCATTTTTGAAAGCAGTTCCAGATGGAGAATCTCTCTATTTGGCCTGAAAAGACCAGCACAATGTGAAGGCAGGAGGGAAAGAAACAGTCTTCTCTCTGGCTGGGCCTTGGAAATGACCAGAATCTGTCCCTTGGCAAAGCAAGTCACTAGATGTCACCCACTACTCTCTTCAACTGCCCCCATCTCTTTTCTTATCGTCCCAGCTCAAGCTGAAGGAGCACTCCGTAAACCCAAGCACTCTTCACCCCTCCACTTTTCATTCAGCGCCAGAAGCGGGTGAAGCAGCCCAGGGGACCTGGTGAATGACGGAGCCTCAGTTGTGAAACAACCATTTATTGAGGGGCCCTCCAGGAGCCTGGAGCTCGGCGGCCCAGCAGGAGAGGGGAGGGGCTCTGCAGCTGCCCCCACCCCCACCCCACCCCCTGGGAAATAAGGAGGCAATGAATCCCAAGAAAATCAGCTCAAATTTGGTTTTGAAAGCACTGAAGCAGTTTCCTAGCTTCATAAACAGTCTGCTCTCCCAACCAGGGACAGACGCTTACTTGGAGGAGGAAGCAGAGGGGCTGAGAGTGACAGAACGAAGAGAGGGGCAGAGAGACGCAGGAAGATCCTGTGCCCCATGCGAAGTACCACAGAAGGGGCAATCAGTGCTGGGGGTGGCTTGAGGAAATGCTCGAGGGTGGCAAGAGGTTGGGATAAAGTGACGAAGAAAAGGGCAGGAGAAAGATGGCGGGGGCTAAAGAGGGGAGGGGTGTGGTCACCAAGTGGCCAAGGTCCCTCCAGGCTGAGGTAGACCCCACAGCACTCCCAGACTGCCAGAACCTTGGGTCGGGGTCTGGCAGTGGGTCCCATCTGTGTGAAAAGTGAGGAAGTGGAAGGATTAGAATTTGGGGAGAGGGGCCAGGAAGGGAGGGGGGTGGTGACAGGGCTCTATGTGGGGCCCCAGCGGTCATACGTGCCGTGGTTGGCAGTGACAGCTGGGGGAGGACACTGCCTTTGCAATGAGGGCAGCCTTTGGCAAGGGTGCCCCTATGGGGGCTCTTCTGCGCGCCCTCTGTCCCCAGCCTTGGACAGGCAGGGGCGCTGGGTATA